GGGAAAGAAATTCTGTTACATTTTTTTTTTTTTAACTTTAATTCAAATTCTCTGAAGGTTCCACACATCAATATTGCAAAAGAAGTAAAAGGAGCGAATGAAAACAGGGTGGTGGGTTAGTCGTGAGAATTACACATTTCTCAATCTTCTATGTAGGTACATGATTTAAATTTTGCTGATGAAATTGATGAGCAGTCTTGGCGATATCTGATCTTCATTTTCTATAAGCCATCATAAGATCAAATGTTTCTAGAGTCCTGCAACCAGCCTTGTCATCATAAGATTAATAGTAAGAGAAATTTAGGATTTATAGCAAACTATTACAAGATAGAATCAAAAAAATAGGATTACATGTCTGACCTTTGGTTTGCAAGTACACATTGCCAAAAGAGCTCCTTAATGAGTAAATCGGTCATTATCCGAGATCGACCCGAAAAAAAATAAAAAAAAAAAGAAGAAGTTATTGCAAAAAGCATAAACTTTACTAACTCATGTTTTGATATTCAATACTTGTAGGACTTGGCCTGAATCAATTACACTCCTAAAGGGGAAGAGAAAGAATGAAGTCCCCCATCTCTAGGCTTTCATGTTTTAGTTAAGCTAAATCCCTATAACTTTTGAAGATTTTGCATTGTCAAAAATATTAACCTGGTAACAGGCTCTAAACCCACCAAATGAAGCTTATGGCTTAGGTTCTATCTCGTCGTACTTCCAAAGAATCCATAAAAAGGATCTTATCATCCTGGAAATCAGTATTCTAAGAAAGAGAGAGAGAATTGTGTCTCAAGATATACAAAATACCTTCAGAGTCATTGGAGCCAAGAATACATCACCAAACAACTTTGTCCCGAACATAAGATTCTGACTCCTAACTTTAGCTTCATTACCAACCGTCAAAACGCTATCGTCCACCATAAAGATTAGCATCTCCACTCTGATATTCAATCCAGCTACAACCAGGATCCTTCATAACTTGTTTTTCCCTCATCAGATCTCTTATAGCTCTAGCATCATCCCATCTTTCTAGAGAAGAATAAATATTGCCTAGAAGCACGTATGGAGTAACATCATGTGGGGCTAAACGGAAAAGTTTATCTGCTGCTCTTTTAGCTAAAGTTACATTAACATGGAGCCTGCAAGAACTAAGCAAAACTTCCCATATGACCGAATCATCTTTATATGGCATTCTGTCTATAAGAACTTCAGCTTCTTCAAACAGACCTGCACGCCCAAGAGGATTAATAATGCAGGTATAATGATCCAAAACAGGTTCCACTCCATGTTCTTGCTCCATTGATTTGAATATCTCAATACCTACATCAGTCAATCCTGAGTGGCTACAAGCAGTTAAAACAGCAACAAAAGTTATACTATCAGGTTTCTCACTCAATGCAATCATTTCCTTGTAAAGAGAAACAGCCTCATCTCCGCATCCATTTTGTGCGTACCCATGTATCATTTCATTCCACGTAACAGTATTTTTAATGGCCATTGCATTAAAAGACATATGGGCCTCCTCGATATTACCACATTTGCATTTCCCTTGAAAGGAAGAAGAGTCTTGCACAATAAATTAGTACAGTAGAATAAGAAAATTGGGTGGGAAACATCACATATCAACGCATCTTCTCTAAAAAGCTTCACTGCCTCCTTGTGGTTTCCACTCTGGAAGTAGCTAGATAGCATGGCATTCCATGAACAAACACTTGGGAACGACATGCTATCAAACATTTGGCGTCTGGTTTCTACGTCCCTGGACTTGACACTTACTGCAAGCATATTAATATACGTGACCTCATCTGGCTCGAAACCAAACTGATGCATTCTTTGCATGCATTCTAGTCTCTAGAGCCTTCCTGGTCTGATATGTTTGGCCATACCCAGGTATCATAATGTTCCAAGAAACAACAGTGGCTTGTGGCAAATTAGCAAAAACCTTCTCAGCGGCATTTATGTCTCCATTCTTCGTGTACATATCAAGCAAGGAATTATTCAGATGAAGATCTTCCTCAAACCCGAGTTTAATGGTAAGACAATCTACTTGTTTCCCACTCACATTAGAACAAAAACCGTCATGCTGACCAAAAACACTAAATTCTCTATATCCCCCACTGGCACATACACCCATGATACCCGACAACGAGACAGAATCCATGTTAATCCCTTTCCTCAACATCATTCTAAACAACTGCAATGCCTCCAATACTCAATCCGTCTGTGCTAACCCACTCATCAGAGCTGTGAAAGTGACCTCATTAGGCTCAGACATGTCATAAAAAACTTGAACTGCATCACTAATAAGCTCACACTTAGCATACATAGACAGTAGAGCAGTACTCGCATATTTATTATTCTCAAGACCAATCTTAAGCACAAGACCATGACATTTCCGACCACGCTCGACATCTAGCAGTGCCCCTTACGTACTAAGCACACTGGCCAATGTGAAACGGGTAGGCATAAATCCTTCAAAAATCATGCTATCATAAACGTCCAATGCATCTCGTTCGGACGCATTTCAGACCAAAGCAGTAATCACATTATTCCACGACACGATATTCCTGTCTGGCATTTTTACAAACAGTTGATGAGCTTCTTGCAAATTTCCGGCTTTACAATGACCACCCAGAATGGCATTCCAAGAAAACACATCTTTCTTAGGAATTTTTAAAAACATTTGGTGAGCATAAGCAATGTTACTGCACTTGGAACACAATTCAATGAAACGATTAGAGAGGAAACTGTTGAAGATAAGTCCATTGCGCAGTATATAAGCATGAATAAGCTCCGGTAAGATGGGATTTCTTGTCTATACAAAACTGCAACAAGTTTGCTAAACGGGTGCTGTGGCCAAATTGTGTGATATTATTCCTCTCTTAGATGTATTGCGGTTTATATCCACTCAGGCGAAGGAGGAGAAGTTGGAGTATTTCTGTTGGATGGCGTGGCAATTGTGGTCCGAACGCAATAGAGTCATACAAGCCAAACCAGCGCCAGAAGAATGGCGCTCTCTGAGAAATTTTGAAGAAAGAATAGTTATAAACACCAATTTCTGTTAAAAATTTAATGAAGAGGTTTTCCGTAAACATTTCATTATTCAGAAAGAATCAATATTAAGTTTTATGGATCGAGACCAACGTGTCACAAAGGGTATAATTCGAGAGATTTTTTGTAATTAATCTAAAAAAAATAACAATTCAACAAAACCAGATGAACAATTTAAACGGTTCACAATTGTGTCCGATTGATACGGTATCGAGTTTCTTTTTCTTTTTTTTTTTTTTTGGGTACCATATTCCCATTTATATAAACGTACAAAACAGATTCTTATGCCTATGATATAGCACCACAATTACTCTGATTCTCCTACACCAGCAATGATACGACAGAATTTGTCCACGTCAACTATAATGCTGAAAGGATTTACAAAAACAGTATCAAACTCGTTGGAAAGAAAGAAACGAACTTAAAGACCTTAAAGGGCCGTTTACTTCATTTATTCGAGTTGATATATGATTTTATGTGAAAATTTTTTACTGTAATAAAAAAGTTAAATGTGATTGCTTTTAAGAACTTTTTACTGTAATAAAACTCGAATTTTAAACTCAAATCGATGAAATGAACGGAACCTAAGAGAGAAGCTTCCTTCTTAACTAAGGACTAGGAAGAAGGGAAAAAAAATGTTAAGGCAGTTAAGACTGATTTCAGGTACACATATGTAGGTGTCTGCACAGAATTCTCCCTGCTCGTCAATTGTAATACAGGAATTCATCCACACAAATACGTACAAGTTCTTTATCTCATTTTATTTTGGGAAGAACTCTGTGGTACCTACCAGTAGGTAATCAGAATCATAATGGAAGTTATAAAAGTGTGACTGCTTAATGGGAATTTGCGGAACATCGGTTAAAAACTGTGTCCTACATGTAGATTATCTTTCCATATCCTACCTAAGAATTCTCCGCATTCTGGTAGCAAATATGTTTCGAAACCAATGGATCTACTAACATAATCAACTAGCTCAAATTAAAGAATAAACAAATTAACGGCTCAATCAGTTTGCCTCTTTGACAATGGACACTCCAAAGGAATTTCAATTCAAGAAGAGCCGGACTTTTTACCATGGAATTTCCTGGCCGTCCCAGGCGAAAAACTTCCCATTGTCGCTGCTCTTTACGTTATCAATTATGTGTAAAAGCTTCTGCACTGAGTATTCTTTGGTGAAAAGCTTGCCTTCAGGAACATTTCTCTGAAATGGCCGAGAGAGATCTGTGTCCACCGTGCCCGGATGCAACAAAATGGATATTACCGGATCCTTCTTCCTTGCAAACTCCACAGATATGGTTTTGTTCACTGCAAGAACCAGATGGTGACATTATGAAATCAAAACACTTTTTACATTCAAACAATCAGACCCTATTATAGCTGATGCTTTTTGCTGTATTATAAACCAAATAAAGAATCAAACAAATATTACAGGAGCAGGTCAAAAAAAAAAAATAATAATAATAATAATAATAAGTGTAAAGTGGAATGACATTGAAATATGTCAATCAGCATGCTGTTTATGTATTTCTCTTACCTATGATGGATCACTGACTCATCTTAATCATCAATTCGAAACATGAAGAAAAGTTATATGAACATATTGGAAAAGACTTCAAAAATGCACGTGTACTCATTGATGATATACACACATAACATAACGCAAAAGTATGCATATTCAGGATATTTTCCATAAAGGTGTTGTGAAGGCTATCATTAAGACAAGCTAATTTCTCTCATTTGAAGATTTTACTTTTAATTATTTTTCTTTCAAGGTTACTGAAAATTCATATTTGTGAAAAATCATGAATTCTGTCCGGAACTTCTATTACATATCTTAAGGCTTCCATCTGAGACTAAGGGAGTAAGCCCAGGCAAAAAACTGTGATAAAAAAATTTGAATACAACAAGACCAGTGCATGAGGAATATTCCTAATGCTTATGGAAAGTGGAGAAAGAACAGAACCAACGTTTGGAACTTCAAAGATGTTAATTTCTAATAAAAATTTGAACAATAACAATTGAGCAAGTCAATGCTATGTGTAGACTTCAAAGAAGAAAGTTTACGCTGATTAAGTGCAGATTTTGAAGCTCGATAAGAATGCCAACCCCCTAGGCGATTATCCCCAATAGATCCCACCCTAGCACTTATGTTGGCCACAATTGCAACATCTCGTTCAGTCCCTGAACCTCCTCCAATCTTTAGAAGAGGCCACATATGCTGCTTAAAGAAATGACATACCGAGATTGAGTCAATAAAACAAAAAAAGGAAAAAAGAATGATGCAGTTCTTATTTTGGTCTTAATTCTAAAAGTAGAATAATAGCTCGGAAAGAAATTAAATCCTAGTTGGAATAAGAGCTTTATGAAAGAATGGTCTCACAAAGATATATTTTTCAATAGGAATGCACAACCAATAAGACTTCCTTCTTAGAGAGCCAACGAGGAAATTAATTCTTCTGGGATCATAGTCATAACAAGTCACTCAATAGATTGGCATAAGACTTGTCACTTTTTGGACATCACTTCATGCTAAAAACTTCAGTACGTCTTATCAGAACGTGTATCGACGTTTTAGTTGATAAACATATATACGTAGTTGAACTTTGGCACTCAAAAGAAAATAAATTATGCAGAGGATGGAGTAAGTATTCTAGTCATATCATTCGTTAAAACATCAAGACATTTAAGACGAGTTTTAAGTGAGCAATACCTTGATCACCAAAATAGGACCCACAGCATTAACCTCGTAAGCAAGCATCAACGATGATTTCTGAACCTTGGTCAGTGTTGTTTCTGTACTGGAAATTAAAGACCAAAAGTGACTTTCTGAATGTTGGTGAAAATCATAACCACATCTGATAAAAAAAAAAAAAAGGGAAAATTTGCCATTCCCTCTAATCTAAGCTTCCGGGTTAAGTGATTATGTGAAATTTCTACCTGGTTGCAGTGCATCAGGTAGTGACAGAATCCCTGATGCATTTACTAGAAGGTTTAAAGAGCCATATTTTTCTCTAATCGACTTTGCAGATTCCTGAAAATTGGGAGAACAATAAAATATCAAGAATGTATCCTTTTTCCTTGCCATTAATCTCATTAAAGAATATACAAATATAACAAGACTAATCGGATGCCCAAAAGTAAGCCGGCTTTGTACATGTTCTTTCAGTTTTGGGAATGAAAAGATTAGATAGTTAGGAAAGGAGTGATCTAAAACCTCGATGGTGCTTTCAACGGTCACATCCAACGGTAGAATACTAAGGCGTTCAACAAACTTATTTTTGAGATCATGAAGCCCTGTTGCTCCCCTAGGATTACGGCAAGTAGCAACAACATGCCCTTTCTCATTATTCTCGAGCAGCTGTTTAACCTATACGAAACAGTAACAAACTTCAAATGATGTTGATCAAACCAAAGAGAACCTCAAGCCTGAACCAAAAAGGGGGGAAAAGAGCAAAGTTCTCGCTGAAATTGGATGTTAAATCCTGCTCGCTCTCTTGAGTTTTCCTTTTCAGCCTCAAGATCAAATTCCACATAAGGGTCAATCCAATGCAGAGAATAGAGTAGCAGAACTGCTACTACTAAAATATCGCTACTGACTGCATAACTTAAGTTGAAGACGTATTGGAATATAGTAAACTACCATAAACAGAATATATGGCTGCCAAACCTTTATATCAGACATGAGCAGTTGAGTTGAGCACCACTATAACTATAATTAGAAAGTTTTATCTAATATATCGTAGAATACCCTGAACCCAACAAGCTCTATTCTCAATAAACTCACATAACAGTGTGTGTATAAAAAAGTTTTGCCAAAACCCATAATCTAAAAGAAAGAAAAATGTTAAAAGAAAGAAATGTCATTTCGTATTGAGCCTTGTCTTCCCCTATCAACAAATAGAATACCCACAATTTTTTGTTAGTCCACATATCGTCCAAATGAATAATGCCAATATTTCCAACTTCTTTCTTTTAGCTTCACAAAACAGATTTCTAGACAGAAAGAACATCCCAGTTTGGAAATTCTTATGCGAAATTACTAGCACAAATCCAAGTTTTCTTTCATCTTTTTTATAAATTAAAAAAAAAAAGATTATAGATCCTGATTCCTGAGAAATGCTTGGGATAAAGTGAATTACGAGAAGAGAAATGAAGATCAAAAGAAGCTTACGAATTCGAGGCCGATTCCTCTGGAAGCACCCTGAACCATGGAAACCCCACCTTCCCATTTCATGGCAGAAAAAGAAAATGAGGCTCTTTGGGTCATTGATGATCGCATCAGCCTCAAAGAAAGACGCGTCGCCATGAATGTTCTCTGGCTCTGAACCACGAACTGCATCATCTCTTTCTTTTTCTCTCCCTCTTTTTCCCCCCTTCTTCCGATGAGTGTCTAAGGATGATGATTAATATGGCGGTTTATGGACTTCATACGCTCTGACTAACTGCATTTGCATTGATTCTTTCATGTTAATGTTAAAAAAAGATTATGTTTAATCGGCTTAAAGTTAAGCACGTGGCCTCAAGGGATAGAGAAGCGTGTTCCTAGAGACCAGTCCAATTTTTGGTATCAAATTAACGTCTAATTAATCACCTATGACCATTTCCAGACAATATGACACTACACAATTTACTCAGATCTTTTTTACCTCAAAAGATTCATGGTTATCACAATTAACTTTTTTTATGGGAGTCTAACGTCCTCGTTGATTACACTATTAGTTAGGGTTATGAATCATCTGTAATGACTCGCACCTTTAATGATACTGTTCACTATAAACTTGAGTTTGTATAGTTTTATTTTTGGGTTTCACCTCAAAATACCGCATAACATTCCTTATAAACCATCATCTACAACTATTTAGTGATTTGAGACTGGACAATAAGAGTGATAATTCGTGTCATATGTTATGTTTGTATCGTGTTTTGATCGTTTCTTTTTAAATTTACAGTCAACCCGAAAACGACCCGTGAATCGAAATTTTTTAAAAACCACAATATGAACACGACACGACCACTTTACAGGTTGACACGACACAACACGAAAATGACTCATGACACGAAATTGACACGCAAAAATTTTATACTTTTATTTAGTTTTTTACATATTAAAAATAACTTAAAATTCATAACAGTCTAAAATAAAATAACATCCATTGAAATTAAGTAAATAATAGTATAAAATTTTGAGTATAACTATCATGATATCACAAATTCATAATAAAATCAAAAATATGTAATGAAAGATATATTATTTTTTTTAGTTTTTTATGAGTTTCGTGTCGTGTTCGGGTTAGGCGGATCCAACTCAAAATTGACATGTGTTTTTTGTGTCAATTTCAGGTCGACCCAATTCTAACCCAAACTTTTTTTTTCAACCCTAACCCCTGAAATTCGTGTCGTTTTCAAGTCATTTTATCGTGTCGTGACTCATATTGCCGGCCCTACTGGACAACTTAACCATTTTCAAGTTGTCACGGAGTAACATGGGTCTAACATGGGTAATGAAGCAGGTTTGTGTATCTTTCATATTGGTGGCTTTTTAGTCAAATATGTTACTTCAAGTAACTCTAGAATTTTCAAACTTCACAATCTCCTTCATGTCCCCAGTATTACTCAAAATTTGGTAAGTGTTCCTCAGTTTTCTAAAGACAATTTTGTGTTTTTTGAATTTCACTCTTTGTTTGTTATGTCAAGGACCAAACCATAGGAGTAATGCTAGTACAAGGGACTCTTAGAGATGACCTTTACCATTTTTAGCTTTCTAACACTATTTGTTGTAATGTCCGGAAAAATCAAAAAATAATGAGTATATTTAATTATAAATATTTCCATAACTAAGCAGTTTATTTCGCAAAAAAACATAAGTTTAAGATTTATAAGTACATGCTAGAACTTTCAAGTCTCATACATAGATCATTCTATATATGAATATCAGTAAACATGGTTTGAATTTTTATATTTAACAGAAATTATTAGTAATTTAAATTGTACTTTGCCCTTATTCTATACATTCACATTATGTAAAGTACACTTATTCGATATCTCGCTATAATAACGGTTCGGATAAGACTATTTTATTCTTAATGAAAATGACGGCCCCGTTCATTTTACCGATTTGAGTTTAGAATTTGAGTTTTGTTATAGTAAAAAGCTCTTAGAAACAGTCACATCTAATTTTTTTATTTCAGTAAAAAGTTCTCACATAAAGTTACATCTCAACTCAAATTAAAAACTCGAATCACCAAGCTGAATGGGCCCGACATGTACTACTAATATTTTAATTAAAGATTCAATAACTTTAATTAATTTATTACGGATATATTTTCATTATTATTTTTGAATATATCCTCTTGTATATAACACTTATATACAATGTTTAATGACAAATAAATAATTATGAAATGTTAATGATATTCATAAAGTAGTACATCAACATAAATATAATGAAATTTTAATTTAATATATTAATAATAAAATATCCAATAACAACACATGCATTTAAGCATTTTTTTTTTTTCTAATAGTAAGGTGGTGTTATGTATGAGTGAGTGGTTCTAGCTTTCAAACTTCTAATTAATTGAACGGTCCTATTACAATCTCAATTGCATATATATGTAAAGTGTCAAAAGAAATAAATTTTGATCGCGATGCCCAACTATATTCTAATGGTTTAGAAAGGTTTTATGCGATCCAGTAACTTAATTCATTGGACCCATGAACAAAGACACAAAAATGATAATTGATATGCGTACACAAAAAGATATACACCAGTAAGAGGTGCAGAGTTCAATATTGTAGTGAACTAATATTTATAATAAAACACGATTCTCAACCTACCTATTTTAATTTTACCAAAATAAGCTAAAAGATATATAATTTTTTGAATAAAATATGTTATAGTAAAGTTTATTCAAATATTTAATTAATTAGTATAATTATTTAAATATTTAAAAATAGCAACAATAAATCAGCAATTTAGTATTGCCTTTATCATTATAATTATTATAATACTAAGATTAACAGCAATAAATCAAAAATATTTTAAATAAAACAAATAAAATTATATTATTTTTCAGTATTTTAGTTTAAAAATATTATTATTATTGATCTTAAAATTAGAAGAAGAAAAATTAAACCTATAAATATGAATATTAAAGTACATCTACTTTAGTTATTATGCATTTCCACTACAGTTTACTTTTTAAACATCTAAATTTGTGCTTCTCCTATTCACAACAGCTTTAAAACAATTTAATAAACACCCATCTACTTCTAATCATAGCAACTTTTAACTAACAACACAGTTACAGTAGTAAGATTTTAATTAATTATAATCCGCTCATCATTGTCAACGTGAGGTTTATTCTTGAAGTAGTCAAAAATTAAGAAAGTACGAGATAATTAGAGACATTTGGTTCATGGATTAGAATCATGATATTAGAATTATTTTTGATTTACGTGTATTTTTTGTGAGAAAAAATACTGTAACAAATCATGAACCATGATTCGAATCGGGGTACGAATCTCCTAACCAAACAACCCCCAAGAAACAAAAAAGTTACAATAATATTATTTGGTACAAGTTATTCACGGGGATTGGAGGATGTATACTGTTGATAGTAGTGTGCCAACAATGATATCACTGTATAATAACAATTGCTCATTGTTCGTGCTACTAAAATATATGCCTATGACATAGATCTATGTAATTGCTTGATTATATAACTCGGAAAATTTTGTCTGCGCAATTATGTGCACTAGGAAACAAATGTCTTTAAGGACGACAACAAATGATGTTTCTGTGCATGTGGTTTGGAGTTTGTTGGGATTGTGAGAAGTCAAAAAATGCCTAAATCTTCTCCTAAAGTTACAAATATAACCCTTCGGGATAGTGTCAATTTTTTAGATTTTATTTTCTCTTAATTTGAGTTTTAAAAAGTGAAAAAGAAAAATTAAACACGTGGTATAAAATAAAAATTGTAAGGGAAAAAAAAAAAGGAGGAACACAAGTAAAACAACAGTTAGATCTTGAAGTAATTTTGAAGAATGTGCAGTTAGATCACCTTCATTTCTCCACATTCATATACGTACTCTAATATATCTAGACTTATTTTGATTAAATTTCTAAACATTATTAAACATTATCCAGACATTTCCCTGAGAAGAATATTATATCAACCTGCTGATAGAAAATAATATAATAGAAAAACCCCTAGGAGCTCAAATCTCAAATACAACGTGTATATATATATAGATATTGTCTCCGGTCTCATCAATAAGATGGTGCCACCAATATAACTTGTAAAAATAAAAACGTGATATAATATTTATTTAATTAAACATGAATATTAAAAAGCTGTAACACCAAAAAATTTAACTATTTCGGATTAATTATAAACTTTAATTTAGTTATAATTTAATACAAACGTTGGAAATGTATAATAACAGTGGAGATAATTGAATAATATGTCTCATTTTTTTATTATGGGTATTACATTACGTAGATGCAGTGTTATGTTTTGACTTCTACATGATATGTTGTTGGTGGGACTGAAAACAAACCTATTTATATGTGTATATATATATACATTTTTCGTTTGCTAGAAACCTTTTAATATTTTTCCTTGCTGTTGATAATATCAAAATACTCGAGTTTTCAATGTGATTAACCACACAAACTATAAATGAAATAATGAAGTCAAATAGAAAATGGGGAAAGAAGATACAAAAGCATTTTTCGACTAGACTTTAAGAGTAACTATCTAGTAATGATTGGAGGTCAAAATTGTCAGACTAGAAATCTTTGACCTCATTTATTTTACGGATTCGAGTTTTCAATTCAAGTTGAAATATGACATTTTTTTAGAGTTTTTTACTGTAGCAGAAAAAGTTATATGTGACATTTTCTGAGAGTTTTTTACTGTAAAAACCTAGAATTGAAAACTCAAATCGGTGAAATAAACGAGGCTTTATGACTCCAATTAACACATTTTTTTCCTTTCGGAAACAACTGAAATTAACACATTTTGGGGTCTGTTGGCATGCATAGCAAAATAGTTGATTCTTCATTATATATGTATATATATTATGTTTTCAACTATGGTTACTCATTAAAATATTTAATAAAGTGGTGAAGCCGCTTTTTAGAACTATATATATATATATAAGTGAGTGAAAATGGATGGAGGGCATGTATGGCATCAATTATGTCCCATTTCCATCTTTTCAAAATCATGACCACAGTCACTCCCATAAACCCAATTGCACCTAGATCATTTCCTTCAAATTTCACATAATGGCTCTTGTTACCCCATCTTATCAAAAAGGATGAGCAAATCATTTGATGGGAAATTTTGGACTGTTCAAGTGACTTGGGGTCGAATGGGGAT